AAACCATTCAAGCAGTATAATACCAAAAAAAAGCAGTGGCCATTTTAATATAATACATTTCCCTCAACCTACTCAGTAACCTCTAACATATTATTCAGTTATGCTTTTAGGAAATTATTACTAAAGCTTAATTACTCTTTAAGCTGTAAAGGAGATAAGTTCCCCCAAATTATTTTTAAATCTATCATATAAAATTATTTTTTAAAAACCCAACCCTTTTGGCACTAACATTTATCACAATCTCTTAGCAGACTTGGCGTTTTGAGGACTGTTTAAAAGCTACCATTCTCTATGTTGCCAATTTGTAAAAACAGTACGTTTTCAGAGAATTCAAATTTTAGTGCTTTGGGGTTTGAGTGTGGCTCTTTTTCTTTATTTGTATTTTTTAAAAAATTTTTACAAGCAAGATGAAAATTGTCTCTCTAAGCCCTTGCTTTGTCTTCACAACAAGGACAGAAACTGTGCCCTGCTGATGAGACCAGGGCACACACAACGCCATCTCACCTGGTCTCCTGCTGCTGGAGAATGTGCTTGACGGCCTGAGCTAGGGTGAATGTTTTGCCGGTGCCATAGGGGCCGATGATGAGAACAGGAGGCAGCTGTATTGAAAGTGGGGTCGTAACGGCCAGAACAGCCTCTTTCTGTTTTGCGTTTAGCCGAGGATCCAACTGCTCATCCCATTGTCTAAAGAAAATTAATATGTAAGTTATTTTAAACACATGCATCTTATTCATAAGCAGAACATGGCACACAAGTATCTTGAATTTCATTGAACCATTAAAAATACTGAAATAACATAGCATCTATAAAAACAAATGCTTATTCTAAAACTACTTTTTAAAAAATTCCCAACAAAGTCAGTGTAGGGTGTTTTACTACTCTGATCAAAATTCACTTTAGTTATCCTGTCCTTTCCAAGTGCAAAAAGATTCTGGTAACTAACCAAGAGACATCACAACACACTTCCAGTCTAGTTGCTATGTAACAGCAGTTTCTTTGCATAGCAAATAAAATGGAAAAGGGAAACTAACTGATTTTCAAATTCTCATCCATTGAAAGATCTCTCAGTAAAATTTAAAACAAAAGAAAAAGAGAAAAACCTGTGTCACTGGTTAAGAGATATCAAACTTTTATAAAGTTCTTAATTCAGAAAATAGCAGGGTTTTTTTTTTTTAAGGTCAAACAATATGAAATGTTTTCTGATTGTTTTCACACACACAAATAACATACGTATGTCCTATTTTTCTGGGTAGAGAACACCTGTCATGGCAACACAAATGGCTGTTGTAGTGAAATCTATCTTATTAGTGTCCCTTCTATGACTTGGCTAAGTTTTGAAGATTTAAATGGACGGCAGATGCTGAAAGGGATCAAACTAAGTGGAGAATCAACAGCACCCTTTCTCATAACTACAATTATACTACTGAATATTGCAACAACTATGGTAAAAATGATAGAGATGTAAACCAAAATAGGAAGGGCGTGTAAAGAGACTCTTAGAAAATTTGCAAAATGCCTACAAAATAATCCTGAAATAGGAGGACACAGTTTAGACAGCAAAATGCCCACTCCGTGAGGCTACACTCTACTCAAACAGAAGCTAGTTATTTATGGAAAGTTTTCTTAACTCTTTCAGTTTAAAAAAATTATAACTAATGCTATATATTATGATAGATAACTTCAAACAAACAAAATTCTCCTAATGTAAGACCTTAGAAAACAAATTTTAAAAACAAATTTTAAGCATATAAACATGTTATTATTTACTTTTCTGAAATTTAACTTTTTTTAAGTAAAAAACAAAAGGACTCTGACCAGTGGCACTAGATTTCCTGGAAGCCATTCACGAAAACTCCAAAGAATCCCTCAGCATTAACCAGTTTCTTTACTCATAATTCTGCCAGTACCTAGCAACGCTCCATCTCCTATAAATAAGGAAACTGCTTTAGGTAAGTACTAAGTCCAGAGCTACTACACTGTGGAATGGTTACCCCCAAACCACCCGCGGTGCCCGTCTCTTCCTCCTTCTTCTACTGAGCCCAGACAGCTGTAATACTCCCTTTCCAGCCTCTGTGGCTGGAGACCCAACTCTGGCCAACGAGACGTAAAAGAAGTCCCTCAGAAGGGCTTCTATACCCAATAAAACAAAGCAAAGCCTCTCTAGAAGAAAGCCTTCCTGCTCCTTTGCCTTCCTCCTTCACCTTGCTGGAAAAAGCTCATGATAAATAAAACTGCAGAAGCCATCTTATAGTCATGAGGCAACAACAGGCATCACGAAGAAAACTAATATGCTCTCCAAGTAGAGAGATAAGGGAGACTAGGTCTGCGAAGGTACTGCTGAGCCCCCCTACCAGCCCTCGACCACCCAGCTCTGGGCCTCTACTTCTATCTGTTTAAGCCACAGTCAATCCAACAAACTGTCGCTTGCATCTAAACCTGACCACTATGATTCTACGATACCTGACCCCAATGGTTCCTTTACCTGTACATGGAGATAATGATACTTGCATCAGATGGATATTTTAAAGGATCAAAAAAGATAATGCATGTAAGCTGTTAAGAAAAATAACTGAGCAATAAGTGCAAAATTAACTTTGACTTCTATTACTATAATATTTTCTGAGGATCTCAGAAAAATAAGATATTACTTGACCAGCACACACTTTTGAAAATCAAAAAAATGTTTTTAGAATACCCTCTAATCTCTCAAATTCGGGGACTTTAATGAACTTATGAATGAGATCGCTATCAGATTATATGCATAAGTATAAATCTACGAGATGAGTGACAGATTTACAGGTATAATTCTAAAATATGTCGATATCTCTTTGTTTTATTTATATAGACCATTCTACTTGTCAATTGTTTCAGTGCAAATAAACGCTTCAGAGTAGATCAGAAACTTTACCAATGTGAGTCACCTCTACAGTTTCTGGTCTTGAATGATGAACATTTACAGAAAGCCAATAAGTAAAACAAATTGCCTCTATTTATTATACCACCTGCTTAATAAAGGGAAGAAGATTTACAATAAACATGCTGGTAAAAGTCATCTCTGAATTTCACAATTAAAACAATATAAAGTCTTTTCAAGTTTACTCTGAATAAAATAAGAGTTATTTTATTCCCTGAACCAAATTAATTCTACGTTCTTTTTCTTTTCCTGGTCTGACGCATTGTTTTAATTAATTTATAGACTACATGCTCAAGAATAATTTCTCAATTTCATTTATCTTTCTATATTCCACCTCATTCCAGAAAAGATTTTAAATGGCTAATAGCTTCTCAGCGTTCCTAGACCTAGATACATTTTAATTACTATTTAAATTATAGTGGTATGAAATCTCTTCCTGCTTGAAAGTTTTCTGCTACTTGACATTTCCTTACTTTTGCAGTTAACACTTGCACTCAGTGCTACTTGAATATACTGCTACATACAATATATTTTTCAGAAGTGAACATATCAAGTCATGCCTACAAGTTTACTGGTGTAGCCTCACATTTGAAACCCTAATTTTCTTCTTTAAACATGATATTCTTATTAACTTAAATGTGTCATATATTAATAATGTGCAAGGCTGTGTTGGAGATTCAAAGACAAATAAGATGTGGTCTCTTCTAAAAAGCTCAGAGTCTAATGAGAACAGCAGAAATGTACACAACTGAGAAAAATCAATTCTAGAGAAATTATGCTTGAAAGTACAAAACTGACTGAACCTAGCACATACTAGGCATCAATAAATATTTGTGGAAATAATGAAATGGAAGAGCAGATTCATTTACCAGAAGGAGAGAGCCCTTGAGCGGGACTAAATTTTAAAGGACAGGTAGATCCTCCAATAGATCAATATTGGGCAAAGATTATTTCAGGGAGAAAAAAACCACAGATAGAACACAGGGCTGGGGGAGGGGGAAATGCAGCGTTTAATGAGTATAAAGTTTCAGTTTTGCAACGTGAAAAGGTTCCGGAGATAAACTACACAACAATGTGAGTACACTTAGCACTCTTGAACTGCACACTTTAAACATGGTTAACATGGTAAATTTTACGCTATGTAGATTTTACCACGATTTTTTTTAATTTTAAAGAATTTTTTAAAAGATAAGGAGGCAAATAAGTTCAGGGCAAATTAAACAAATGTCAAGGTAATCCTATATGGCTAGAACATGACGATTTAGAGGAAGAAAGGGAGAGTAAGAAGAAAAAAGTAAAAGAAACCTGAAAAGATACTGTTGAGAAGCATCGTCAATGAGACCACATAATATGAGTTTTGTATTAGGACGTTCAGACTTTATCTGCATATCAAGGAGAAGTCCTTCAGAGGTTTATAAGCAGTGAAATGAAATGATTATTTTAGCAAACTAACTCTGGAAGAAGTATGTGGGTTGGACCACAGAATAGAGACACAGACGGCAGGACTGACGACGACCGACTAGAAGGCTACTGAAATAGTCCAGCTCTCAATTACACACTGGCTGTAGGGATGGAAAGGGAAGGATGCAGGGAAGCTGAATCACATAAGAGCTAACACTATGAGATGTCACTGGGTGTTTACAATCGGTGGGCCACTCGCCACTTTCAGGAGGGTGAGAGCAGCAGAGAGCAGATCACAAGGGCGAGGAGAGAGAATACACCGCAGGTAGGGTGGCCACCCTTGCTCAAGAACTTTGGCAGTAAAAACAAGAATGAGGAAAGTGAAAACAAGGGAGTAATGACTTGGATTTTGTATTATAAGGCATATTTTGCTTTGTTCTGTTTTTAGGACCAGAAGAAATGAAGTGTGAGGGGAAATGATATAAGTCACTCCTAGGCCTGGCCCATAAAAATTTCCCACATGGCCCTCCGTGCTCCTGCTTCCCCTGTCTGCCAGCTCATGTCAGCACCCAGGGTGACCTTGGAAACCACTCAGTAAAGATACCAGAGCCTCCATCAGAGATGGAGCAGGGCCACGCTACCATGACTAGATTGACACAAGTGATTAAAAAAAAAACTAGTTTATGGAGCCACTGAGATTTAAAAAAAAAAAAAAAAAAAAAGGTGGAGTGAGCTGGGCATGGGCAGGGGCCGAGAGGATAAAATCCAGTAAAAGAATAAAAAAGATGCAGTCATAGAGCTGTCACTACAGTTAGTCTGGAAACAAAATAGAGGTATCATATTTAACTACATGTAAAGACGTGTAAAGAGAATTAAGCAGAAACATATTTACATAACATTTAACTTTACAGCATCTTCCCTGATACTTCCTCCATTTTCCTAAATTACAAAAATGTCTTCCCGATTCAAAAATTATTTTAAATTAACTATTTGAACCACTTTAGAAAGGGCCTAGTCTCCCTATTCAGCTTCTACTCAGGAATATTCCTAAATTGCTTGGCATTCTATCAAATTAAGGCTGTTGAGAAAAGCAACAGAACTCATTTAGACTCTGAGGAAAAGTGAAGAAAATCGATGATGAACTTCAAATGCTTCATTCTAAGAGTTCTTGTACTCTCTTTTCTCAACTAATAACATCTCTCTTGAAGAATATATGGAAACTTTCTTATAAACATATTTGAGTTATTTGATACAGATATTAAATTTAAAATTTATATAACTTCTGGAATGAGATATCTCTTTTTTGTACCTGTTGGGACTCCAAGGTATGGTCGGAGTCATAGTGATGTCTGGAAACAAAACCCCATTGTCCTTGATCCTGTCTAGCGCATAATGCATTTCACAGAGGGGTAATCGATTTAACTGAAACTGAAGTTCAACCTGAAAGACAAAATTAAAAAAAAGTTTTTAAAAGCATTAAAGCAAACATCAGTGCTTTTCAGCTTCCTAGAATGCTCTGTGGAGATACCTTTTACAGGGGCCAAGTTTAGAGATGCCTTTAAAGTGTAATCACAGTGTGATAATAATTATTATGCCTAATATTTGCTTTGTTTATCCAGTGCCAGGCACTGTAAATGCACTTTACATAGATTATCCCATTTAATAGCACCAATGACGTGTATACTATTACTAAGCTCATTTTTCATCTAAAGAAACTGAGGCGCTTGTAAATTACTTAATCTCTAAATAAAGATTATCTGATTCCACCATTCCTAAGAAGAATATATTTGATAAAATTAGTAGAACATCTGTGAAATATCATCTCTCAAGGGTTAAAACCAGGCCTATGACACTGTATTGATTTACTATGAATGGATAATATTCACCAAATGCTATATTTAAAAAGAAAAAAAGAGTAGCTTTCCAGTTAAATATGGCAGACTGAGCACAGTTCACCTAAAAATCCATAAAGACAAAAAGAACAGGAGCAGGGCTTCCCTGGTGGCGCAGTGGCTCAGAGTCCGCCTGCTGATGCAGGGGACACGGGTTCGTGCCCCGGTCCGGGAAGATCCCACATGCCGCGGAGCGACTGGGCCCGTGAGCCATGGCCGCTGAGCCTGCGCGTCCGGAGCCTGTGCTCCGCAACGAAAAAAAAAAAAGAACAGGAGCAGATACAACTTCAGATAAGAACTGCCCCAGGATCTAGCTTAGTTTATTTTAATCTGTTCTTCCATTGCTGATTTAAAACAGAAATCAGAAAGCTTGACCTCGTATAAAACTGGAACATTTTAGATTTTACTTAAAGAGAATCGATTTTCTCTGAAAGTTGTCAAAGGTCCAATTCTCCACCCACCAGAATCAATACTTCCACGTCAACTGCACTTCTAGCTGTGGCAGAGGGAGGGGAAAGATTCCAGAAGAAGAGGATCTGCTGACGGGGAAACGACGACAAGCACAGTGAAGCTGCCACACTTCAAAACATACCTGTGTGTCATAATCAGGCCGAAGATTAAGTTCTTCACAGCATTCCCTGGATATCCTTAAAAATATATATTCTTTTGTTTTTTCTTCAATAGTAGCTTCATAAACCTTCTCTTTGGTTCCCTGGGTCTGTACTAACTTCTCTTTAGGGACTGGTAATAAATAAACAGCATTGACTTTGGTCATCACCAGCCGTCCAGCCAAAGTATCTTCAGAAAGTGTTTCAGTAAGCTTGAAACGGCCAAAAAGTTGTCCATTCTGAGCATACTTTGCACCTCCAGAAACTCCAGTGAGCATGAAGCTTGCTAGAATCTGCAATTGCACTTTAAGGTTGAACCTAAGTCAGAAGTAGAAAATGAGTTTGAATATTTTACATCAAAAACATTAAAACTAAATAAGAGAGTAAAACAAAATAAATCAAATATAAACATAGAAAAATTAAAGGTTCATTATCAATTCCACTCCACTGAGCTACAAATTATATACTGTCTTTAATCCAAGCTGGAAACAACAAAACTTTAAGTGAATAAACTCTCCAAGTTTATAAAAATGCATGCTTAGTTGTGTTGAAGAATACACATATTTTTAAGTTTGAGCATTTAAAATGAAACTAAATATGATTTTTTAATAAAATAAAATATCATGTTATTAGTTAATATGGAAGTCTGTTTGAATATACCATTAGGACGATCAAGACTTTAAAATCACCTAAAGCCAGAAGGAAGTGTACTGTACTGAAACTACAATAGACTTTTATTAAACTGCTGCTTTCCAAGTAGATCTTACCAAGATTCTAATCATAAAATTTCTCTTCCAATACCGCTGACGAATAACATCCAGAATACATTTTTATTCATGTCTACATCAAGGCAGGTCTCATGCCCAAATTATGGAAAGAAGAGTTAAAGGCTATCTTATTAGACAATGGCTGGTGCACTCACTCCCACTTCCATGAGCACACGTGAGCATGAAAGAGAACATGTGTGAGCAAGAAGCACAGAGAATCAAGATTAATTCACACAGTCAAGAAAGATGAAGTGAAAGAAAGATTTAAATTAATGAATAGCTCTTCTCCTTTGCCACTCTGAAATGGTGCTGTGAGAGAGAAGACAAAGTGGTAACAATGGGAAGACTGTCTCCTTTTTCTTTTCCTTTTTTTTTTTTTTTTTTTTTTTTTTTTTTCTGTACTCAGGCCTCTCACTGTTGTGGCCTCTCCCGTTACGGAGCACAGGGTCCGGACGCGCAGGCTCGGCGGCCATGGCTCACGGGCCCAGCCGCTCCGCGGCATGTGGGATCTTCCCGGACCCGGGCACGAACCCGCGTCCCCTGCGTCGGCAGGCGGACTCTCAACCGCTGCGCCACCAGGGAAGCCCTGTCTCCTTTTTCTTAATAAGGGTTTAAAAAATTTGAATGAAAAACTTGTTTTATAATCTATATACCCATTTGTGGAAAAGGCTACTTTTTAATGGTACTACTGAATTTTCTTGTGATTTTCTGAATTTTCTTGACGTGATGTCAAGAATGTCTTATAAATTCTTAAGGAAAAAGAAAAAAAAACCTCTTCTAAAACATTATACACTTCTGTAACACAAACATTTGTACTGCTTACAATATTAGGAAACCAATTCTAATTAAAACATTATATTCAAATTTTGAGTTTCCATTTATATACTTTAAAGTTAGAAAACTGTAAAACTAGAGAAATATTTTAACAGAAATAAGAAAACACTTAAGGAAAATAATACATCTGAACAGCTATTTATGCACGTAACAAGTCACAGCGTTTATAAGCTCCATTAGTTATTTTAAAGTACACTTAAGGGCTCCCCTGGTGGCGCAGTGGTTAAGAATCCGCCTGCCAATGCAGGGGACATGGGTTCCAGCCCTAGTCCGGGAAGATCCCACATGCCATGGAGCAACTAAGCCCGTGCGCCACAACTACTGAAGCCCGTGCGCCTAGAGCCCGTGCTCCACAACAAGAGAAGCCACTGCAGTGAGAAGCCCACGCACCGCAACGAGGAGTGGCCCCTGCTCACCGCAACTAGAGAAAGCCCATGCACAGCAACAAAGACCCAACGCAGCCCTCAATAAATAAATAAATAAATATTTAAAAAACACTTAGAATACTTAAGGCTCCAAAAAGATACGTAAAAATATACTTTATTATAAACATAAATTTAATATCTAATAATGTGGCTTTCTATGAGGATCAAATGAATTCCAGCAGTACTTGCTCTGTGTATCATATATATATATATATATATATATATATATATATGGAATTTTAAAAAATCATGTTACATTTCTCTCATTCTCTATCCATATTTCACTAGATCCAAACTAGAAAAGTACAATATAATTTAAAGAAACACAGATTGTATGTTATCTACTTATGTTTGATTCTTTCAAGACTGGAATGTGCACTAAGGATTCATATAAAAATAAGTCATAAAATGAAACAAAAGTATACCACCCTCCCCAGTTTACATATAGTCTATGTTCACCTTCCTTTTAAAAATAAAATAAAATACATGCTTTACAGAAGAACAGGAACCCTTAGGTTTTTCATGTTTTTTCAAATGAAGTTAAATTTCTACTTTGCTTTTATCATCCATATAACTGAGATGTGCGATCATTAAAAACTTTCTCAGAGAAAAAAGATTCCTTACAGTCCATTCTCAATTCACAAAGGACCTCTCTGTTGCTAGAGCTGATGTCCAGCTTTCTGATCTTCTGTAAAATTATTATTACTTTGTGACCACTTTCCGTTCCCTTTAAACTCCCTCTTCCACTGGCTTCTGTACAGTCGCCCTCTCCTAGTTCTCCTCTTACTTTTCTGGCTGTTCCTCCGTCTTCCATCCAAGCACCACCCCCCTTCTAAGCATCCACCCTGCTCTCTCCTTACCCTGCCTGCTCTCACAAGACGAGGACGCCCTCTGCTAGATCTCTCAGCTCTGGGCTGTAAACCTAACTGCCAAATACGCACATTGGATTACATGCTCTGCAAATTCAGTAAAAGCAAAAGAGAATCACCATCTGACTTCCCCCCGTACTACCCCAAACCAATCCTCCCGTGTACTAGACAGCTTAGGTAATGGCACTATCCACCTAGTTGTCCCAGCCAGAAACCAAGTTATCCTTGACCTTGTCTCTCTCACCAACCTTCGTTCCCCATCATACAATCACCAAAGCCCTGTTAGTTCCTCTTCTTCCTAAATTATCTGCATCTCAACATTTCTAACTTGAATTTTACTGTAACAAACTCCTACCACGATGTCTTGCTTCAGATCTATTCTCCAAGCCACCACTAGAGGGTCTCTCTGTAAAATACGAGTCTGATGATAGGCGGCTCCGAGGGTAAAGTGTAAACAGCTTTCTATCTCACCACCCCACCACACACGTCCCTTCCATTAAAATTACGATGACCAACTTGCAGCTTCCCCCACAACTCTATGCTCTCATTCTCCTATCCTGTTTCTTCAAACTAAATACCTTTGTCCTATTTCTTCACCTGACAATTCTACCTGTTTTTCAAAATTCAGCTTAAATGCCACCTGGTCCAGAAAGCTGACTTTGATATGTCATTCAAGCTCTGGAGAAACCAAACGTAACTTGTTTACCTCAGAATCAGCAATGACCAGCCTAGAACCTGACACTTTGAATACTCAATAAATTCTGTTCATTGAATTCATTTTACATGCTTGTAATAATCTGATTTTTTCCCCAAGCACCATATTCCCATTTCACCTACTTCACATTATTCCCTAACAAATTCTTGTAAAATCCTATAATGTTTTCTCAACTAACTTGGGTAACAGATTAAAGTTTTACTGTTACATCTATTTTAGAATCTACCATCCCAAAACACTTGATCACAATTTAGCAGGCATGAAAAATTAATCTCACAGTTTTAAAGCCATAAGGGAATTCTTTTATGACATTGAGTTGTGCCTTGCAACAAAACTCTTGCGGCAGAGACACTAGAACTAAGAAATACAGCTTTTCCCACAGAAGAGTCACCATATATTCAAGATGCAGACATTAGAGACCTTCTCAAAGTTACAGCTACTAATATTTAATTTTTCTAAAAGATTAACAGGCTGAAACTAAAAAGACATTAGTAAGCGTTCTTAAGTATTAAAATAATATGCATTTTTGAGATTTAGTAACTCAGAAATACCTAAAATACAAAATATATCCTATAATTAACAAAGATATGTCTTAAAAAGAAGAAAAACCATCTTTCCATGGTTCCATGCCACATTTTAAAATCAACTTGAAAGCTTACAGGATTCCTAACATTTTTGGAAATGGCAGAATAGTAGCCCATGAAAGTTTTCAGCCGATTTAAAACCATACTTCTAGCTAAAAGAAATATGGCTCCACCTATGTTAGAAACAGTTATACCTCTTGAGTGTAACTTTAAAAACACTTCAAAGCTATATATAGTGAGTTTCCCTTCATGCAATTTCTGACAACAAAAGTCAACCAAGGTAATAAGCCAAAAAACAGCTGGGTCTATTGAGGCAGAGCCACAGAACCAAGGTTGAATCAACAGAGGCCTCAGCCACTGCAATGATGAAATGAGCATCCGCATATCGGGCTTGTCCTGCCAGCTTTAGTGCTGGGCAGCCACAATGCCCCAATCCTGCAGGCCACAACACACTCTGATGCACATACACAAGAGAGCTTCAGCTAGAGCCAATTTCTTTTGAAAATGTGTATCTCAGAATGAAACCGATTTCACTTCAAGGTGAAATCATTATTGAATGCACAGCAACATGTAGCCGAGGACAAGAGAAGTTGAAAATAAATCTTGAAAGAACTCAGAAGCATATTCTAAAACTTAAATGAAATGCAGTATTATTCTTACCATCTCCACACATCTCATACTAAAACTTAACATAAAAAGAACTCTTAATATCTGGACTGCTTTGAAAAAAAAATCACCTTTCTTTAAAAAATAAAGAGATAAACCTGATTATCAAATTCAGCCTCAAGGCAAAATACATTTTTTCTAATCTTGAGAGGTTTCATTCAATCCATTTTCAAAAAGAGAAATTCTAAGGTGACCATGGAAAAGTACAGGTCTACCTTGTTTTACTGCACTTCATTGTCCTTTGCAGATACTGCGTTTTTTACGAATTGAAGGTTTATGGCAACCCTAAGTCAAGCAAGGCTACAGGTGCCATTTTTCCAACAACATTTGTTCACTTCATGTCTCTGTGTCACAGCCTGGTAGTTCTCACAATATTTCAAACTTTTCCATTATTATTATATGTGTTATGGTGATCTTTTATGTTACCATTTTAACTGTTTTGCAATGCCACAAAAGGCAACCGTGCAAGACAGCAAACAACTGTGTGTGTTCTGATTGCTCCACCAACTGGCCGTTCCCCCATCTCTCTCCCTCTCCTCAGGCCCCCTATTCCCTGAGACACAAGAATAATGAAATTAGGCCAATTAATAACCCTATAATGACCTCTAAGTGTTCAAGTGAAAGAAAGAGTCACATGTCTCTCACTTTAAATCAAAAGCCAGAAATGATCAAGCTTAGTGAGGAAGGCAGGCCAAGAGCTAGGCCTCGTGCACCAGTTATAGCCAAGTTGTGAATGTGAAGGAAAAGTTCTTGAAGGACATTAAAAGTTGTACTTCAATGAACACACAAATAGTAAGAAAGAAAAACAGCTTTACTACTGATACGGAGAAAGTTTTAGTGGTTTGGACAGATCAAACCAGCCACAACATTCCCTTAAACCAAAACCTAATCCAGAACAAGCCCCAACTCTCTTTAATTCTATGAAGGTTGAGAGAGGTGACGAAGCTGCAGAAGAAAAGCCTGAAGCCAGCAGAGGCTGGTTCATGAGGTTTAAAAAAGAAGCCACATCTGCATAATGTAAGTCGAAGTGCAAGGTGAAGCGGCAAATGCTGATGCAAAAAGCTTTAACAAGTTATCCAGAAGATCCAGCTAAGATACTTAATGAAGGTGGCTACACTAAACAGCAGATTCTCAGTACAGATGAAACAGCCTTCTGTTGGAAGAAGACTCTACCTAGGACTTTAGAGAGGGCAAGTCACTGCCTGGCTTCAGAGCTTCAAAGGGCAGGCTGACTCTCATTACGGGCTAATGCAGCTGGTGACTTTAAGTTGAAGCCAATGTTCACTTAAGATTCCAAAAATCCTAGGGCCCTTAAGAAATATGTTAAATCTACTCCGCCTGTGCCCTATAAATGGAACAACAAAGCCTGGATGACAGCACATCTGTTTACAACATGGTTAACTGAATATCTGAAGTCCCCTGTTGAGACCTACTGCTCAGGAAAAAGATTCCTTTCAAAATACTACTCCTGTCAATGCACCTGGTTACCCAAGAGCTCTGATGGAGAGGACAACAAGATTAATGTTGTTCTCATGCCTGATAACACAACATCCATTCTAAAGCCCATGGATCAAGGAGTAATTTCGACTAACAAGTCTTATTATTTAAGAAATATATTTCATAAGGCTATGGCTGCTATAGACAGTGATTCCTCTGATGGATCTGGGCAAAGTCAATTGAACACCTTCTAGAAAGGATCTGCCATTCTAGACGCCATTAGAAACATTTGTAATTCATGGGAAGAGGTCAGAATATCAACATTAACCATAGTTTAATAAAAGAAGCTGATTCCAACCCTCATGGATGACTTTGAGGGGTTCAAGACTTCAGTGGAGGAAGAAACTGCAGATGTGGTGGAAACAGCAAGAGAACTAGAATTAGAAGCGGAGCCTGAAGATGGGACAGAATTACTGCAATCTCATGATAAAAAGTTAACAGATGAGGAGTTCCTTCTTATGGATGAGCAAAGAGAGTGGTTTCTTGAGGTGGAATCTACTCCTGGTGCAGAGGCTGTGAAGACTGTTGAAATGACAACAAAAGATTTAGAATATGACATAAACTTAGTTGAAACAGCAGTGGCAGGGCCTGAGAGGACTGACTCCAATTTGGAAGAAGTCCTAACTGTGGATAAAATGCCATCAAACAGTGTTGCTGCTACAGAGAAACTGTTCATGAAGAGTCAATCGATGCAGCAATTTTAAGAAATTAAAATAAGACAGCCACCCCAACCTTCAGCAACCACGAACCACCCTGATCAGTCAGCAGCCAGCAACACTGAGGCAAGACCCTCCACCGACAAAAAGATTATGACTTGCTGAAGGCCAGACGACGGTTGGCATTTTTTAGCAATAAAGTATTTTTTAATTAAGGTATGTACCTTTTTTTTCTTAGACATCCTGATATTTCACTTAATAGCCTACAGAATAGTGTAAACCTAACTCTTATATGTACTGGGAAATCAACAAATCCATGTGACTTGCTTTACTGCAATATTTGCTTTATCGTGGTGGTCTGGAACCGAACCCACACTACCTCTGAGGTGTTCCTGCGTAGTCCAATCCTTGTAATTAAAATGTAAGAAACCAGTATGAATTCCCTCAATACTACTTTCATGATTATTTTTCAAAATGTGTGGTCTCCTTCAGTTTTTGGACATTTATTCGACAAATAATCATTGAGTGTTTGCCCTCCCACTGACAGAGACCTCCTGAAGAGCAGGGACCATGCGTTTATACTCCCAGCGCGTGGCAGCAAGGCACTGTACACTAGGGATGCCAAGATGAGCACAGCTCTTCCCTTAAGCTCATATACCAATCCTGGATAACAGCTACTGAATAACAACTGTTTCACTACCTGGCTGCGCTTAGGCACCGCTCCGTATTTTAAACATGAAAAATACTATCCAAAGGGGAGATTTTAAAAAAGGAAGAAAGAAAAGAAAAGTGTTTCTAAAGTAACTTACTTGCTGACTTCCTTATACTGGGCTATCTCCTCAATATAAAGGAGGTCATGCAACCGTGACTGATAGTTGGTCTTGGTCAATGATTTGTCTAAAACGGACTGGGTAAATAGCTGGTCAGCAGAGAGAGGAATTTGGTATCTGATAAGAAGGCTCTTCTCCAAATCAGTAGTTTCATTAGGTTCAAAATCTATAATAGTCTTAGAAGAAGAATCCCAACGCTTAGCCGTGGTTACTAGCTGTTGTTTTGCATGCATCAGGTACTCAAGATCTAAATGGAAACAAAAAACACATTTATAAAGGAACACAACATTAAAATTCTCAAGTAATACACTGTGCACTCTGGTAAGAGAATTTTGTATGCTGAAGTTCTTAAAAATGAAACAATATAAAACCCCAGTGGACAGAGTGTTTTCCCCATGTGAGAAATATGTTTTTGTCCAGGTTAACAAAATAACATAAATAGGAATTCATGTAAAAAATATTTTTTTGTACCTCAGGCTAGAACATACCAGAAATAGTTATTCACATTTTAAAAATACAGATTAACATTTAGAACTTAACCCTTTAGTCAAGAGAAATCTGATCTGCAGGAAGAAAGTATGGTAAATTTCTCATAAGACAAAATCTCATCAGGTGATAATCACTTTTCTCTTCCTACTAGAGAAACAAAAACCTTTCGTGTTTTTTCCCCACATTAAAAGTGATAAAATGTACTATTCAAATGCCATTTCAGAAAAACCCAGTTTAGCCTCAGTTAAATTGCATGGTAAGTAGAGCACAATGTCAAAATGAACGACTGATCAAGTTTTCACAGCTCTGGGGGAAAAAATGCAGCAGAATACCAGCACCGGGTGAAATACATCGTAACATAAATCCTGAGCATTGGGTAGCCTCACTCTATCCACAGTGCATTTTAGTTTTCTATTGGGTGGAACACACGTACACCTATAAATATGAAACTTGACCAAGAGGGGAAAAAGTTTGCTTAACTAACTCATTAGGCCAAGATCCAGTTTTAATATAACCTAATTGGAAAGATGGTTTTACAACTCAAGTTAAAACTTTAGGAAGAAATAATAAAAAGTTTAAACAGAGATCAGTCTCCAAAGCGCAAAGACAGTGCTATCTTTGAAATGAGAGCAGATTGTATAAGTGTCTTGTCTTGCTTAGTGACAGGTTTTGCTATATTTAAATGTTATATATAAATTATAAACATATAAGTATAGTCACCCACCAAGAGAAATTTCTCAATATTAGAAAATAGTTTATCCTAGTATCATAATAAAGATCAAAATGTAAAAGTCCTAATTTCTAATCTTTGTTCCTTGAAAAGGCATTTTTACATGCCAGTTTTATTATTCATCAAATGGCAGTATAAACACAACTATAACCATCAATATATAAAGATGGTCTTCTTGTTAAAATTTTGCAGTTTTAAAATCCTCTGGATGAGATAATGATGGTCTGTTTTTGCAACAGCCTCACGAGAAGTTTCATAAACTAACCACATTTTGTTCCTAAATCACTCTAAAATTGGGCCCTTCCTATCCTTTCATTAGATCACGGCTATAAAAAATATTTAAATTATACAAATGCCAACATTCCTAAAACATTAGTGATTTAGTGATTTATACCATCACTAAAGATCAGATACTATTAACAAAATAGCAAGGATGTACATAATTTTCTTCCCTTGATTCAAAAGTCAAAAGGAGAAACACTAATGGTACAGAAACCAACTAACCAGCTCTTCAAAAAAAAAAACCCACTAAACTCTGTGCAGTATTGAAGAATTTATTTAATAGGTAATAAAAGGATGTCTATTCTTTGGGCATAGGGAAATTATATTTCATAATTTTATTTTAAATAAGAAACTGATTCAGACTATACCTACATCAATATTATATTCACATTCTTTAAAAAGTCACTAGCTATTCCTAACTGCCATTTAAGTAACTGGGATAATAACAAACTTAAAATGGTACAGCTTTCCTTTAGAAAAGCTTTTTGTATCACCTATTTAATATACAAAGCAAATTTTGCAGAAAATCATTCTACTCTGGGCTAAAAGTATTCAGGCTTTTTGGGAAAAGTGGCATGAGAAATAGTATTTGTTTTTCTCATTTTACCTATTTACTACCATGATTCCCACCCTGATTTTATGAAGTTCTTAAAATGAATGTCTTTAGCAGGTAGCACAACAATTTCAAAACAATTCCGAAACAATGTTAAATTTTATTCCATCTTTTTAATAACTATAAATACAATACAGGAGAGGGGAGAGCTAGGGGAGCAGAGAGAAGAATCTTGGGAAAATCCATGTGTGCCGGCATCAAAAAGTCTACAAACCACTGACTTTGGCCATTACCATTAACTCAGGCGTCCAAGATGGACTGGGGCCAGTGATTACTGAGGGTATCTTCTGCAAAAACCACTTCTCTTCCCCTGCTCATGTTCAACTTGAAACAAACTTCTGCCTCCAATCCTCTCAGTTGTAAAAAGCTTCTTATTAAACCTGTTTAGTTACCCACCTACTTACAGTGCTTAAAGGTCATTAGGTCTTAAGAGCTCCTCTTTAAACAAAGGAGGAAGCTGGGGCTCCCCCAGGGGGACACTGGACACCCTAGTCCTGGGGCTCATCTCACCCCCCATGCAGCACATGCACCAGCTAACATGCAACCCAGACGTGAACACTGCTCAGGGCAGCCTGAGCCAGTCCATCCATGGTAAGAAAGCGCTCTTCCTCAGTCTAAACTAGGCTAAAATTAAAAAAAAAAAAAAAAAAAAAAAAAAAAAAAAAAATATTCTGGAAAGATGAAAAGTGAACAGGTTAGAATCAATATGCATAAAATCACTTAGGGAGAGTTTAACACTGACTTATTAACCAACTCCTATAATAATAAATCTGAAACCCTGACAAATTATAAACCTACGGAATGTGTTACCCTGAGATATGATAGGCAGAAGCTACACGTGTATTTTAAGAGAAATTCATAAGAAAAAGTTAAAGATAATTAGAACACACCTGATAATTAGCACATAATTTCCTGAAGATAACATACGGGAAGAACTGTTACTATCAAAAATAGAATCCAAGGTTGGAGTCACTAGTCTGACACAAGATTCGCTTCCCAACTTCCCTCACCCTTCTGATTACTGTGAATAGTAAATGCTCTCATTTCAGCCACATAGTTACTATTCTAATAAAGCATCCAAAGGGTTGGTTTGTTTTATCTTGAAGTATGTAGTACAGCAGACTTGAAAATTATCCTTAACAAACCCTGGACCATGGATAAGAAGTTAGGAGAAAAACATGCAGTGTCCTACATACCCAGCACAAAGGCTGACACACAAGAAGCATGCAGTAAATGCATGTCAAATGTGGGATTTATTAAAAACAGGTATATTTATCTAGGACTTAAAGAGAATGAGATGAAATGATCCTTAATTCCAAAATTGGATACAACACTCTTCCTTAGGAAACATTTTGGTCTGTGGCTTTACAAATCTTGACAGCCCAAATCAACAGTAAAACAAAATCCCAAAGGAAACCCAAACTACGACTTCAGCTATCCATTTCAACATTGTTCCTTTCACTAAAAGAGCTACTCAGACGTAAGATGAACATCTCTTAGCTTATCCATGTTGTCTGTTCTCTTAATGAGGCTAATAAAAAGTTAAAACAGCAGAGTAACAACACAGGAGTACCTCACACTTTTTACATGCTTCTACTCAGTTGCATTTATCTTGTATTGACAAATATACTATTTTTTGTTTGTTTGTTTGTTTCTGTTTTTTTTCCTTTTTGGCCATGCCACGCAGCATATGGGATCTTAGTTCCCCCGACCAGGGATTGAACCCGTGCCCCCTGCATTGGAAGCGTGGAGTCTTAACCACTGGACTGCCAGGGAAGCCCCTATTTTTTAAATCAATTTTTCTATTAATTTTCTGACCCCCGTAATAGTAAACATTATATATTTATATATATAAACATGTCCTTAATTTACCAACAACTTTGACAGCCAGAGATAATTTTTAAGACGTGCTTTTAATGTTAATTTTAACATACATTGCTAGACTAAAAGTAATGTGTAATAAATACCGTTTTCAAATTTAAATATAAGAACTAACTTCCAACATGTAGCTTCCAGATATTCAAAGCAGAATTCCAGATCAGTTTTGTCAAGCAAAAATTTTCGATTACTCAAATTGAGGTATAAAGTGTAAAATGCAGTTTGTGTTCTAAGCAAGGGGAAAACTCACTAACTTCCTTCTTTTGTAAATGTCCTTTGCCACACATTTGTGAGAAGCACATCTTTAATCCAAAAAAAAATTTTTTTAGTTCATATAGTGCCTTTTTCTGTACCTGAACCTCACCAACAAGGAAAAAACAATGAAAAAAACTACATCAATTGTAAGAGTAGTAAAAACATCAAAGACAGAACTAAAAATGAGCACAACAGGTCAGCTAATTTAAGTAATGACAAAAAAAAGCCAATCAAATGTCAGCTAGCTTGCCTAAACCTAGATTTAAGTTTTTCTCTTTATAATGCTCAAAATATCTTATCAGAAAATACATTTTGTAGGGTTTTTTTTTTTTTTTTTTTTTTTCCCTTGCGTTATGCGGGCCTCTCACTGTTGTGGCCTCTCCCATTTGCGGAGCACAGGCTCCGGACGCGCAGGCTCAGCGGCCATGGCTCACGGGCCCAGCCGCTCCGCGGCATGTGGGATCTTCCCGAAACGGGGCACGAACCCGCGTCTCCTGCATCGGCAGGCGGACTCTCAAGCACTGCGCCACCAGGGAAGCCCATTTTGTAGGTTTTATATTGTTCTCTTGTAATATTTGTTTTTCCTATGTCCTTGAAAAACAAATTTCACTATGTGAAATTGTTTTAACGTTTCCAAATTAGTTCAAGAAAATGCTTGATTTTATTCAATTATTTTCCATAACATAATTAGAAGACCTTGTTTAAAGGAAAATAGGCAAAGATATCGAACTGCAAAAAGGTCACTAAGAAAAAGGATATAGTATTATAGAAAGGGGGGAGGGTATACAGTATTGGTCCCAAATGGGAGAACATCCCTGTCTGTATTAATTCCCACTACCATATCTGAATCAAATATAAATTTTACTATATTTTCAAACTGATATATCAGAAACATCAGAAATGAGACTCTTTATTTCTTCCAGTTACCAGTCTCAAAACATCATTCATCTTGGGACAACTTCTCTTGCCAAGATCTCTAAGTGCTGTTGCCTCAATAACTTGGGTCTTCATCTCTGCTTTTCAGTCCCTTGGCTGCACCCTAGTCTTGGTCCTCACTAAAAAAACAAAAACAAAACAAAACAAAACAAAACACCCTTCTCTCTTCCTTTTTTCTTTCTGTTTGCAAACCGGAAATCATCCTAATGATGGCTAATGATAACAGCAGCAGCTACTACCTACTGAATGCCTGCTATGTGCCCCATAAACTTGCTGTGCAAGTTTAGCTCCAGTTCTCACGATAATCCTCTATGACAGGTATTACCAGCCCCATTTACCACAAGTTTCCACATGAAGCTCAGCGATGTTAAGTTCTCTGCCCAGGGTCATACAGGAATTAAGTAGAAAATCAGGATTTGAATCCAATTCTATTTAACTCTGAAGTCTATCCACTGCTCTGTTTCTCCAACTAGAAAAGTAGCACATAGCTGGGGCAAAAGTAGCCAAAGCACCCTCAATCTCTCAAGCCCACGAGGGTGCCCTGAAATCCTCCTCGTTTTCTCTTTTTATTGCATATATTTAACATTTTATATTATTAATTAAATAGGCTTTTATTAACTAGTACAGATTTTTGACAACACTTACAAACTTATTTTTATGTGAAATGAGTCATGAGTTAAAAGCCACAATCTAAAAGCAAACTTTTAAAATACAACCCACGTGTAAGCCAAGAACATCCTTTTAGAATTATATTTGAGAGTAGGAGATGCATGTCAGTACCTCTATGATTTTAAATCTCCTTATGATTTAAAAAGGGTGCAATCTAGTAGTTCTCAAGTTCTAGTCTCTAAAAGCAACGTAATGGCGTAACAGTAAACAAACCACTGCATTCAAGAGAAATCCAGCCTGCGTTGTTTTTGAAAATAAAGTTTTATTGGAACACAGTCACACCCATCCATTTACATACTGTCTATGGCAGCCTTCTCACTGTAATGCAGAGCTGAGTAATTGGAATAGAGATCATCTGCCCTGTAACACCTAAAATATTTACTATCTGGCCCTTTACAGAAAAAAATCTGTCAACTAACTGCTCTATTAGTAAATATAAATCAAGTATTTTTATTTCATCAACTACTGTATCTGTTTGGCTATGGGAATTAACATATTTTTATTCCAAAGAGTAGTGAAAAGATGACAAAAGCAGAACACAACAGAATAAAAACAGGTAAAAGGGATCAAAGTAAATGAGAAATAGGGTAAAATGAAGTATGGGTAATAATATGAGCACATATACAAGAAGGTAACACCTACCTGTTCAATTTTGGCACAAATGTTGCTTCAACCCTACTCACAGCTAAAGGTAAGGGGACAGAACCAGTTCCACCTGTTCGTCATGTCCAAAAAATAAAGTCCTAGCATTTACTCATGAAAAAAACTTCTAGGTTCTCATAAATGGGACACTGTGGACATCATGAAAAACATCCTCCACAATATGCTTAGTTATAGCCAATATAATAGCAAGTTTCATACAGCTCTGCTATATGAAGTGTTTGTTAAATAAATATTTAGTGCTCATGAAATAAAATAAAGCACCTATAAATCCAACCAAGAGCCAAAGAAATGTAGGCTAACATGCCCTTCCCTTATCCAGTTGGATCTTGGCATAAAATTTAGGTTTAGGCAGTAACATGACAATTTACAGAGTAATTTCACCATCTTCTGCAGGTGCCTGCATGTTAAAACCAGGTACCTCTTCCCAAGAACATGAAAGCAGATCCTATTAAAGGCACTTTGGTCTCCTTTATACTAGTAAAATCAAGTTATGGAAGCTTATTTTTAGGACTTTCCATTCCGAGATAACGTACTAATATCAGCAAAGTTAACTGGACCATCAGTTGAACATGGAAATAGACACTGTAGGTGTATTCACAATTACCACTGAAATTATATTCTACCCAAACTAATACTGAAAGGTTTTACTGTGCTAAAATCATCAAATGAAGTCGGTAGACCAAAAGAGACCTGATCATCTACTTATACAAGTCTGGGGAACCTCAAAGCAAGCTTTGCCTGATGACTGTATGAAGTGACCAGGGCATAATGCAAACCATTCTACTCCCATTACACAGTAAAGGAGTCAATAAACTTGGGATCTTTTTCTTTACTATTCCCTCCCTGTCCATGGTATATTTAGGGGCCAATACGTATCTTTTATTAATGTTGCTGTTATAGTGCCTTTTAATACATCGTTATCAGGGGAAAAAAGTCTAAATTTTACCTTCTGTAGAAGCTGCATCAATCATTACTCTTTGCATGAGTACTGGTTCCAATCCAAAGTCGAAAACTATGGTTTGGCGAAAAGTTCCAAATATTTCTGTGTTAAATGCTATCCCGACTTTATACACGTAATGATCTAATCCATTCTGGGCCATCTTTCCTCCTATCCATTCTTGACAGTTTTCTGGGACTTCTTGTGACACCTGGGTAGCACTATCTCCGGCAGATATTGCAACGATACTAAAATGAGGGCGATGAGCATCGTAAAGCAATGCTACACGGTACAGCATTCTTGCAGGCTACAAGGAAGTTAGAATAATTTGTTGAGTACAAGGGGGTGAAAAATCCAGTTGTAATTGGGCTCTTCAATGAAAATATTGCCATAAGGGACTTTTACTTTCCCATGCTTCTAAGATACTATGCTAAAACTACAAGTTGTACTCATAAGCCATTTAAGAAAAAAAAAATCAGAATGGTTAAAAAAAAAATCAGTTGTTAAAATGATATATTTATGATGTCAATTATACCTCAATAAGGCTGATATTTTCAAAAATGATATATATTTACACTACATTACTAGCCTCCCTGCTCTTTCTGTGAGACATTCATCTTTCACTGTGGCAAAAACGTTCACCCTGAATCAACTTTCCATACCCTTGGCCTAAAAAAGCTGTATCTAGCCTCAAGGAGGAAGTCTTCATAGGAGAGCAGTGACCTCTGAAGACACTGAATTGGGTTCAAGGCCAAAGCTAAACGTTCCCAGATTTTTCATCCCAAGATGCAGTTGGTACAGTGGAAGAAATATCACAAAAAAGTACACAAAACTTTTCCACTGCATATATTCACAGAAATATTTTAGTTCGCTTCATTCTTAAACTTTGAATATTATAATTCAGGATGGGAAGCACTGCAGAAAAATGTCTCATATTAAAAACCCATTATTACAGAATTTGTGATTTCATTAAATCAAAATTAAAAACTCATTGTTTGAATATCTTAGAACCACCAGATTAAACAATTCCATTTTTAAACAGTTAACGACAAGCCGTGAACCCCATCCTATGTTTTAAGTTTGGAAGACAACATGTCGAAGACCTCTTCACCAAATAAATAATTAAGCAAGTATGTAAACATCTACAAAGCTTTTATCTCAAAATCTAAGAAAAACCTGTACCCTTCATGATCAAAATACAGAAATACGCTTTATCACAATGTAGAACCTACATAAAAATGTACTTAGAATAAAACATTTTCAATGCTCTTTCAACACACAGATTTAAAGGTCCAAAAAGCCTTTATGAAAATTGAAAGACATTTATATTCTTTAACTATCACAAAATTCATACCTTACAAGTGAGAGCAAAGGTCCATGTCTGGTGAGATTTTTTGGTGTTGACAGTAACGGACAGATCAGGATTATGCTCTACCTTTACTCCTTCTATACATTCACTAAGCTGAAAACAGAGAGCAACTAATGTTACATTTTATTCCTAAAAAACACAAACAAACACTTTTGGCATGGTAAATAAATGTTAACGGTAAAGATGCTGATGGAACTGTTTACAAAGCGAGGTATTTTATACACTAATTTTCAGTTATTTTTATAAGCACAAAATATAATAAAGCTAAAATGAGAGACATAAGAAAACTAACAACAACAACACAAAAAATGGCAATAAAAACTCCCTGAATGAAGACAAATTAATATAATACCTGCAAGTCTGCAAACAAATGGCTTAGTTCTGCTCTTTATTTCAGCAAATGGGTCTACTTTTGCTACTAAAAACACTTTATCAAGAATCAAGTGTTTCATATAGAGGATAGGGAAATAAACCAAGATACAGCACGAAATAAAGTCAAGACTCAAACAAGGGCACTGTTTAAAACAAACAAACAAACAAAATGCAGTTTAATTTCCTCACCACTTTCTCAGGAGATAATGAATTCATCCACTTTTCTATCAAGGTTTCCATGTAACTGCCTGAGAGCTGTTTATTCTCATTTTGCTGTTTCAATTTTATCAACCGTGAAGCATATCTTTTCTGCCATTCTGCTAGTTCTTCCTGGGAATGTGCTGAAGTACACTGGGCACCATACCTACAGATGCCTTGCTCTAAAAATCTAAGTAGAATAGGAAAGACTGTTTTATCATATACTTTGTTGGACCATTTAAAAGATAAACTTCCAGCATTTGCCCTCCGACTCTCCAATAACAAAAACAAAACTTCATCTCCTGAAAGGCCATATTTATCACATGTCTTGCACCGAAGAGGAAGAAGACGTTTAGGAAACATTTGTAACAGTTAATCAAAGCAGCAACCCCCCCACGTTCACTGACCTCTTTCTCTGGAATAAGGGGATGACAAAGCAGAACATATTCATAACCGCCCCCCACCCACAAAAACTGGCATTGCAAAGGTAGCTTCCTTCATGATATAACAACTCTGTTGGACAATTCCTCTTAGAGCAGAATTTTTCTAAAGCAACACTGACATCAAGTGGATTAGTTCGTCAAGCACAGGTATGCCCTACTTCCCAAAATGATACGACCTAAAGAAAATTTTCCACATACTAGAAATTCTGTTCTGGAAAAAAAAAAAAAAAAAAAAAAAGTAATATGTCACTGAATTAACATTTCAAGGCTTCTACTTTCCACCTTCAAATGTAATGCCTTCACTCTTCTCTACATTACCATTGCCTACATTTCATTGAAAATACTGGACTATACTAATTTGCTTGAAGTTTTAAATAAATAAAGAATAAAAGTTTTATGTAAGAATCACAATTAATTCAATAGTCAGATTAAATTCTTCGATGGGTAAATTCATAAACGTGCATTTTAGAGGCTATGGAGTTAATATTTCTCAATGCTTAGGACTCAAAATGCAACTGATAATTCAACGGTCAAAACAGATAAAAAATGCAAGACTTTGATCAGTAACTTTTTTTTAAAGTTTTAAATACTCTATAAAATAACAGATCCAGCCAGTTTTTAAACATTCAAAAATTAATAAAAGGTCTTCTGAGAGAAAAAATGAAAATCAAACTATAAATAGCAAATGGATAAAAGCGATGTTATGTTAATAGATAATTTTTCAACTGGAAAAATATGAATAATGAGAAATACAAAATGAACCACAGCACAGTGTACATTATCAAGTGTTTCACCCTATTTGAAAAGACGAGTGTATTTAAAGCTTTTCTTGATGATACATAAAGTACTTGAACTTAAATTATGCTATTTATTAAGTTCTCTTATGCTTAAGACACATTTAAAATCATGCATTTGTTTCTCTTCAGTATGTCGTAATAAGCCAAATATTTCTTTGTCTTTCTATTGCTTTGCTTTAAATTATTTCCCTAAAAATTGAAGATTTGATAGTCTCATCTGGACTATAAATTTTCTCATACTTCCTTTGCATAGGATCGCGTTCTACCTCTGCTACAACATTGATGCCACCAGGATTTTAAAAATTTACTACCTAGTTTCTTTATTTCTGCAATAAAATCAAACCTGACCTCCTGACTATTCAATCATCAAAGCTGCGTATCAAACTTCCTTCATTATCAAAAGCAACCTAGAGTAATTAGAACTTATATCTAAAAAAACAATAGTTTCTAGTTCTTATAAAAAGAACCTTTCTTAATGTAACTTTAATAATTCTTTCTACCTTAACATATAATTATTAAATTTTGAAAGGTTAGCCCTTCAAATATAAATTACTCATAAATTCTATATAAGATTACGTGATAATAGATTTTCTTTTTTTTAGAAAAGTTATTAAAATAATTTAAGATTTCTTTACCTATTTTATGCTCCATTTCAGTTTAAATAAGGTAACTTCAACTCCAATCACCATAATTTAGGTAAATTTCACATAAACAAGAGATCAGCAATTAAATTGAGTCATATTAATCCAACTGGTATTACAGAAGTCTTAACAATCTCCATTTAGACCACTGTTGTTTATAATTAAAAGAAGGATCATCAATATGGTTTTGATTTTTATTATTTAATGATAATGACCATTTTGGCTTCTGTTTCAAATTGAAAATAAACCATATTCTACTCAACTGTTATGCTTCTTCCTTCACATATTATCTTCTTTAAATCGGAATTACTACTTTTCAAAAAGTGAAGGAAAATTAACTATCCTTGGAATAAAGACATGTCATTGGTTTAAAAAAAAAATTCACGTTACCTTTTACACAAAGTATATTCCTCGCTGCTTGTGATTCCCCTAGGTGGTGGGCGGAAATGCCAACCATTACAAGATCCTAGAGAGTAATCAGGATATATAGTCTTATCATTTGAGGCTTGCTGATAATTCTGATATTTTAATGTGTAAGAAATACTATAAACCCTCCAAACACATCATCTCAGATGATGTAAAAAGAACATGACATGCTTGCCTCTAGCAAAAGAGTCATCTACCAGTCAAACGAATTATAAATCACTTTAGCCACATATGAAACTGAAAAATCATTGAAGCAGCAGTTACACAGCAGCTAAGACAAATCAATGACCCTTACTCTACCCCAGCGGCTGGCAGACATACTTCCAAGTGCAGTCTCCTGCCTGGTATCTAAAGGGGAGATGTGTTTGGCATGCTTGTCATTTCTTAAGTATGAGTCGTGTCTCTATTAGGAACTATTTCAGGAAGGAGAAAATGATGGTATCCTGGAAGGAAATTTTGTAAAACAAATTCCAGTAACTGCATATGGAGTGAGAAGTTCCACATTACCATCCATGTTGCTTAGGGTCTGTCTGACACATGGCACTGAATAAAGTAATCTTTGTTTAATAATTGAAATAAAGTGCAAAAAGGTGAATTCTGAGATAGGAGCTAAAAAATAACATTAGTTTCCTTCTGAATACAATGAGTTTTAATGCACGTGGATAAAAGGTTCCAAATAAGCCAAGGCAAACAAAGCGTCAGAGAGAACGGCTGAGCTCTAGAGGCTGAGCGAGCAGCGGCAAGTTTCCCAGGACCTTGCAGGTACCCTCACAAGTCACTGTGCTCCCCTGCCCCCAAAACACACTCCGCCCGGCTGAGTTTAAAGCTGCGTTTCACCCCTTCCTATCTGCGTGACTGGGAGAATTACCGAACCTTAATGAACATCAGTTTTATCACCTATCAAAAAGATGAAGAAAGACTCTAAGAAGTCAGTACTCGTTTCTGTGAAAGCCACTAACGTGGTAGACATCATTTAGCAAACGCTCAATGAATGCCAGTCTCTCTTCACCTTCCTCTGGCAGGAGAAGAGGAGAATCACAGACTTTCACTGTGGCAGGAACAACTCAGCTTACAGGTCAGCACTTCCAAAAAGTAGTAACTGTACTAGCCTGTGATCGAGAGAAAGGAGAAAAGACCTCCCTCTACAGACTGCTAAGAGCAGGGTTCATTCAAGTTCAGACCTGCGCACATGGAGGAAAGAAGGCAAAACAGGTCACTTCCGGGGTTGCCTCCCATCTGCGTACTCTATCACTCCATGACAGGGGCTAGTGAACAAACTGCTTCCATCCGCACTACTTAAAATTAAATCTTTATATTCTCTCCTGTACCTCCACTAACATGTAATCTAACTCAGAAATTTCCTCCCAATAATCAATAAAGAAGCAAGGCCCCAAATCACAGCTACCAGAAGTTATGCAGTTTCATACTTACCCTCTTCTAAGTCTTCCACGTGATATCCAGAGAGGACATTACCAGTTGCTGTCTGCAATTTTTCAAATGAAAGAAATTTTTATAATAAGAAATAACTAGTTGATGTTGAATTAAACTTGGAAATTTTTAACATTTTTTTTAAAAAGCTTCAGATTGAATATTTAGAAATTTTTAATAAACAATAATATGCAAACGTTGCTCTTTGCTCTTTGCTCTAGTTTCCATATGTAAGTATGGAAAAGAAGTACTTCTGTGGTCCTCAGTAAGGAAACTGATGGAGATCCTGCCCTACATAAACCTACCTGGGTGCAAGTCTCAGTCCCCAGCCCTGGACCCCGTGGAGTAGCACCTTCCATCCGTGTATGTATTGCACTCTCCTCGGCTAACGCCTACAGTATGACCAGCCGCTTCTCCTGCAACAAGTGCAGCACCACCACCACCTCAGGACCTGGGAGCATATCCTGGCCGAGTCCCCCTCGCTGCTCTAGGATGAGACCTTCTCCCACAGTGGAGCCCATGGCTGGGGACCCACTCACCCTGACTTCCTGGCTTTCTTGACCCCTCTAATGCAGGTAAGACCTCCATCTGCCCCTCTGGCTATAACTTTACTCTAAGCTCCACACCCCCAATTTCAACTGAGTGCCAGCTAGAGAATAGTTAAGTGCCAGCTTAACTATTCTATAGCATTTTACATGCTGGGTCACTGTCAGCCATACACAGATCCACTGTCAACAGCCTGCAACTGCCTTTCTGCATTCC